AGGAAACAAATTTGAATAAATAAATCTATAAAAAAGTTTAGTTAAAAATGTTCCTCTTAAAATGCCCGTTTCAGCTGGTATCATTAAGGTATAAACAAACTTTGACATTTCTGACAACATATTAAAGTGTGTAGTATAGAGTCCATTTTTTCAAAATTTCCACGTATTAATGGATACCCTGTATTGTTAGCAATAGGTTTTATTCGTATATCTGGAGGATTGTATCTTTAAAAGAAGTAGTATCATGTTTTTTCTATTTAAGAAATACCTAATATTGCCTACAAGTGACCTAATGGGCAGCCTTAAATTCAACAAGAATTTATACGGGTGTTATCTTAAACCTCGAATATTTCAAAAAGTAAGTAAAACAAAAAAAAACATGGAAGTCCAAAGGAAACTCTATGTGTGCTACGTCGATTACAAAAAGGCCTTCGACCGTATAAAGCATGAGGAATTAATACGAATTCTGATGGAAATAGGACTGGATGGTAGAGATATAATCATCATCCGCAACATGTACTGGGACCATAAGGGCTGCGTACCAACGGAGACTGGAAACACCGAATACGTAAATATAGAAAGAGGGGTAAGACAAGGATGCATACTGTCCCCACTCCTATTCAACGTGTACGCGGAGTCTATAATGAAAGCATCATTACAGACCTGCCCCGAAGGAGCTAAAATAAATGGGAACATTATCAACAACATAAGGTACGCCGACGACACCGTGGTGATAGCAGATTCGGAAGAACAACTGCAAACTTTGATGAGCATCCTAAATGAAGAAAGCTCAAGAATGGGCCTGGAAATCAATACCGCTAAGACCAAGACCATGGTATTTGACAGATCCTCACAGGGGCACATAACCAACATTATGATAAATGGTCTCAGACTTCAAACGGTGCAACACTACATCTATCTGGGCAGAGAAGTCAACAACCAACTGGACAACTCAAAAGAAATAAGAAGAAGAATAGAAATCGCCAGAACTGGATTTCTAAATATGCGTAAAGTGCTATGTCATCCGAGACTATCAATAACTCTCAGACTAAGAGCACTTAAATGCTACGTATGGGCTCTATTGCTTTATGGCTGTGAGACATGGACACTTAAGCAAGACGACATCAAGAAACTCAACGCATTCGAGATGTGGCTTTATCGACGTATGCTTCGGGTCAGTTAGACAAGCCACACAACTAACGAGACGGTGCTACGTAAAATGAACACACGAGCACACTTGTACACGCTCCTTAAAATACGTAAAACCGCTTACCTCGGACACATCATGCGCCACCAAGAGCACGAACAGCTTCAGCTGATATTGGAAGGGAAGATAGAGGGTAGACGGAACATAGGCCGAAAGAAGAAATCATGGCTGAGAAATATCCGGGACTGGAACCACACAGATGGAAATGCCCTCATACATCAAGCCCAGAACAGAGAAATGTATGCCACAATGGTCGCCAACCTCAGCAGAGACGGCACTTAGGAGGAGGAGGAAGTAAAATTTAAGTATAAAATGAATTACAAAATAAGTTTTTTGTCCTAGAATTGATATCTGAATAAAAACATAGTGTGTTCCATTTGAAAATCTTGAGATTTTGTTAATTGAATTCGCCAAAGCGACACCACTTATTTGGGACCCCCTGTATAAGCTGAGGCACATCTGTCAAATTATTTGAGTAGTGCTTCAACGTAATCTCAATTTATGCCTAAACTGTGCAAAATTCAAATAGGAATTTCTTAAGAAAGAGACTCTTATTTTAACCAAGGATTCCAAAAGGGTCGAAATATGCAGGGTGTCCCATTTAAAATAACAAAGTTAATGTCGGGGTGGACACTTTTGGGACACCCTGTATCAAAAAAATTATAATATTTCGTGAAACTTTTTTTCGTATTCCAGGTATTTCGATTTCCAAATCGCATAGTGGATCGTTATATTTGACACAATGTATTCATTCAAGATCCTGATATGTTACACCATCCCGTCTTGGTACGACATTTTTCTAGAGGTTTTTTAAAACATTAGCAATCTCGGTTTCACTAGTTGGATTCAAAAATATTTTATTTTTACATGACACTTCGTTAAACGTTATCGCCGTGCTTAGACAATTTTTCTCGTCCTCAATTTCTTTAACAATACCTAACCGTATATCTGTAAAGTATAGAAACTTGAACAAAAGTAACCTGCCATTTTTAATTTTTAAGAGACGCGAATAATGTCTTCAAATAATAGTAGTTCAAATATATATTAGAAAACCTATTATGCAAATTCCGCCTATTGTCATACAACCACTACGGCAACGGCTGCATAGTGATTTGTATAGACATATTGTTTACGATCTTTTAACAACAATCGTTGGCACAACGCATAATTTACATGCAATATAATAACTATGTACTGGAATGATTAAATACTCAAGTTTGAGCCTAATAAAAATGTTGGAGAACCAGGTGGGATATTTTAATTATACACAACGTAGTGTTAAAATCTCCACCTGCTACCAACCCTATTATATACCTACTTCAAATTGCACCAAGGTCGCAAAGTTTTCGCTTAGGCAAATAACTAATTATCGTTAATCGCTACAGGTATTTATTAGAAGGCCAATACAATTATCTTAAAATTACATCTCTCAAGACCCGATTTAACCGAAAACTACACTTTCTATTGCCCGTATTAATCACGTTTTGGGGAATTTCGTTGTTAAGCGTGTTAAATTTAATTCTACGTTGCTTGGAAGATTTACGTCGACGTTCGCGCTACCCAACCCAAACCCGTAAAATCTCGGCGGGTGTGTAATAAAAAAGCGATAAATCCCAACGAAAACGTCATAATTTTGAAACGATTGTATCACACCTAGCCAAGTTTTAGAGGCGTCTCACTTGCGAAACCAACAAAGGAACGTTAAGTTATAAGAAAAATGGCAGTAAATTTCGTCACAAGCGCCAAAATAAGTTTTACATATAAGTAATCCTAATGATGGAGATATTAAGTAGAATAATGTTTGTCTATAAGTTTTACATATAAGTAATCCTAATGATGGAGATATTAAGTAGAATAATGTTTGTCTATTCGCTTCGAAAACAATAGTTCAACTTGAAGAAAAACACAACCTAGACACTGCAATGATAGTGCAGATTATTGAATGATGGCATCCAATTAAGTATAAAATATAAAAACCATAAATACATATTCTTGTCTCCTCTTTATGTTACATATGATAGACAACTAAGGAATTATGCAAAATAACTTAAAGAGGTCAAGAATTCTGGAGAACCGCTAATAAAGTAAATATATCTAAAAATTAAAGTCGCTTCGAGAATCCAGAAGAGCTCCAAAAGTGCACAGATATCCATAATTTTTTTCAAAATACTGATAATTTACCTGATACCACATTCAACCATCTATTAAATTCTTACAACAGTAATATGGGAACAAACAAACTTTCGGCTAATTAGTCAAACCGATCTTGAAAAAATAATCACAGGCATTACTTCAAATGCGATTGGATGGATTCTTAATTCGAGATACAAAAATCTGCGTTGCTTGTTGTCCTGGTGCATTAATACACATCATAAATTCCTGCATTTTGGACGATAAATGCCTACCTATCTGAAAAAAGGCCATCATTTAACCTATTGCAGACCCTAAACAACTCAAAGATTTGCGGCCTGTAAGCATACTTCCAGCAGTTTCTAAAATATTGGATCAACATGTATGTAAGAAAATTACTGACATTTTAGATATTTATTATCTCATACCCGATTGTCAATCAAGATTTATAAAACATTTTAGCACCACAATAGCACGAGTTGGCATAGTAAATGATGCCAGGTATAATTAGGAATGGTACTTGTATAGCTATGATTGAATTGAGTTTGACACTTTGAGTCACATTCTATTATTTGCTAAATTGAAGTATTTTCGATTATCAAGTAATACAATCGAGTTGTAATTACAAAAGTACAACAACGACGTCTTTGGTACATACTTTCGAATTTAAGTCGATTAAGCAAGATGTTCCACAGGGATCAGTAGTTTCCCCAATTCTCTTTTCTTTATATGTGTCTGATATAAGTGTAACATATTCTAAGCTTAAACAGTTTGCCGACGATTCTGAACTTCATTTACCAATCAGTATCCAATCCACTGCAGAAGTTCAACAAAAGTTTAACACAATCTAAAACTTAATCCTCAAAAATCTCAAATTATTATCATCCATAGAAAATAAGGACATTCGAGAAAACATGGAACGAAGAATCTACGTTGAGATTGAAAATAATGTCATTCCAGTTGTAAACACCGCTAAAAATTTAGGTTGGATTTTTGTCGATTCCTGTCACTTGATTTTCACATTAATAATAAAACTTAAAGCCAGATACGTCAGCATTTCACAGATCATTTGCCTATGTGGCAATAAAGATATGGAATAGTCTTACCAGTGAAATGAGGAAATTAGAGCTACCTGCACACACCATTAATAAAATCTAAATTACATACAGAACAAAATCTACTTTTAGAATAATTAATTCAAATATTAAAAAGCTATTTTGATATATCTTTAGTGTTATGTTGGGTTGGGTCTCCTTTTTCAGTCATGTTTCAAGCAGTTACCAATTGAGCTTTAATGGCAATATACTTACCACAACATCCTTTTTTTCTAACTTCTTTTCTTCTACAATTAATAGTTATGCGATATGTCAGCGCGCTTCTGGGTTCGATGGTATTGTAGGTCTAGGGCCTTGGCCTTCTCGCCAACATTTTTCTTTTAGAAAGGTGTTGGTGAACGGTTATTATTATCGAGAGTGGGTCCTTTTTGTCAAAATTTGATTTGTTGTGTAATTCATATTGTCCTTATTATTGTTATTATTATTATTATTATTATTATTATTATTATTATTATTATTATTATTATTATTATTATTATTATTATTATATACTAGTATGTGAATTTCGGCTAATAACAATTTTTATACATTTTCGTTTTTATTTGCAGGGGATCGACAAAACCCTTTTTTGGCGATCAACAAACAAACGAAAGCAGGTAAGTGACATGCAGATCATTTTTTTTATCGGTATACGTTAAACCTCAACTCGTAAGAAACGGTATTCCCCGACTATTGCAATCAAAGATGGAGGGTCGAGAAAAGACAAGATATTCAATTGTTTTTCCACGACCACTTTAATAAGTAGAAAATAATTCAGCAAATTTAAAAATTTTACCAACCTGGAGCTTCAATAATAAAGAAATTAGCAATAGTGCCGACTATGTTGTTTGTTCACGCCGTACATCACATTGACTCGATGTTCAATAATAATTATGAACCAAAGTTGGAGTAATAAATTACATGCAACGTGCAATTAAGTGTAATAGATAAAATCGTATATTGAAAATGACTATATAAGAAAGACAAAAGATTAGGTCATCGATGGGATGACCATAATACCATAAAAAGTTCATAAATATGCATCCATTCATTGGTTGAGCCACAGGTATAATTCCCAAAGAATGTATGTAACAAGAACACTCGTAATTGTGCAAACATATGTTCATAAATTTAATTTTGCGTTGCTGAGTATAACAGAATAGGTGCAATGTTGAAGACGTCCATTACTCTAATCAATCTTATATTTTATTGATATACTGTCAACAATAAAGGAAAATTAATAACAATATATCCGGTTAAACCAATAGTATCAAGATTTGTTACTATCCCGTACAGTAAAAGAACCAAAGTAGATAAAAGTACAGAACAATTACAATGGGTGTTTTTTTTATGTATAGAACTTTAAGTTGGCATTACTGTTCAAGATGGCGACCGATTTAACAGCTGTCAAGTGATTTAATCTCAGTTTGGTTTGGCAATTCATCGTGAATAGACAACGCTTGCAAATAGTGCAATTTTATTTCGAAAATAATGGTTCTGTGTGGAATACGTATCGCGCACTACGTCCATTTTATCGTCGACAAAATCGTCCATCGGAGCAGTTAATTCGATTAACCATGGAACGTTTTCGCACCGCGTTTACTCTTATTGATAACTCGCATCCCCAGAGACACCGTACGGTGCGTACAGAAGAAGCTATTGCTGCTGTAGAGCGTAGCATCGAGGAAGACCCGAATGAGTCCATCCGCCATCGAGCACAGGAATTGGATCTGTGTCCATCCATTTTATGGAAGATTTTGCGGAACGATCTTGCTTTACGTGCTTACAAAATCCAACTCGTGCAAGAATTGAAGCCAAACGATCATCAAGTAAGGCGTAGATTCGTCGAATGGGCCCAAAACGAGATTGCCGTTGTTCCCGATTTTCATAACCGAATTTTGTTTAGCGATGAAGCGCACTTCTGGTGGAATGGCTACGTCAACAAACAAAACTGCCGCATTTGGAGCGAAGCTAATCCTCTAGTGTATGTCGAAACACTGTTACATCCAGAAAAACTGATTGTTTGGTGAGCTTTATGGGCTGGTGGAGTCATTGGTCCGTACTTCCTCAAAAACGATGATGGCCAGAACGTTACAGTCAATGGTGATCGGTATAGAGCTATGATTACTAACTCTTTCATTCCTGAATTAAATAACCATGATGTCCAGGAGATGTGGTTTCAACAAGACAGCGCAACATGTCACGGCTCGTGCCACAATCGATTTATTGAAAGACACGTTTGGTGACCGCTTAATTCCACGTTTTGGACCTGTGAATTGGCCTCCAAGATCTTGTGATTTAACACCGCTAGACTACTTTCTGTGGGGCTATGTAAAGTCATTGGTCTACGCGGATAATTTACAAACGCTCGACCATTTGGAAGACAACATTCGCCGTGTTATTGCCGATATACAGCGACAAATGTTGGAAAAGTCATCGAAAATTGGACGTCCAGATTGGACTACATCCGAGCCAGCCGTGGCTGTCATATGCCAGAAATCATATTTAAAATGTAATGCCACAAGGATTATCTTTCGGATAAATAAAATTCATGTCAATGGAATAATCCATCGTTGTTTTATTGCAACTTAAAGTTCTATACATCGAAGAAAAACACCCATTATAACAAGAACATTGCAAAAATAAGCAAATGCGCTTCGAAATATTGTAAGTTAATTAAAACCCTCTTGCATATAGGTATTTTTGTTTTTATGCAGATCATTTTATTCAGATCGAAATACAGGAATTTTGAAAATTTCGGTCGAGATTTGAAAATGGCTTTAAAGAGCAAAACAAATAAATTGCGTTCTCCAATTATTTTTTGGGTCAAACTTATATTTCACATGAGAGTTGTTGGATATTTTTATATTTTCAGTTTTAGGTGTCAACAAAATTTTCAAAAACTGAACTTAATGCTTCTTTAAAGTATTGATAGTTCATATGAAATTTGTGATATGAACCTGTAGAAATAGATGAATTTGTTATCAAGTAACAAAAAAAGCAATGTTATAAAAAACTAAATTTTAAATTTACAGAAATTGTTAAAAAATATGTATGTAGGAATTCTTGCTGTTTAGGGCAATCTTCGAACGGTGCTTTCATTTACTTCAAACTTGTTTCTCTATTTTCAGTATTTATTATTATTAGAAACTGTGAAATGTCACAATCAATGGTTGCATTCAATACGCACTTGTTCAGTACCGAATTATTTATTTTAATTTGCGGTATTTGCACAATTTTAATCTATTGCGCAGTGATCATTCCTTACGGAGTTTCACATCAGCTTTACGTGCGAAGTTTTATTTATTCCTCAATGTTAAAAACTAGTCTGTGATGATCCCGACTTTCAATAATCTTTATGCTGTATATTTTACTTTGATATTACTAAACGTACAAATGCGAAATCTACAGTACCGGAACTGGATGATTTTTGTTGTCAGATGATGTAAAATAGTTTATATATTTATATTTATTATATATCATATCATATATCATATATAATATATGCATTTCATTTCAAATACAGTGAAACCTCTAAATACGGACAAATCTATTAGGCGGACACTCCTATTTAAATATTTGCCTACCCTTTTAAGCGACAGCATTCATGTACAGTGGGAGTCGGGAGGCAATATTGATCAAAAAAGAAATTTTGAAAAAACTGAGGGACTTCAAATTGTGTGTTTTGATTGATTTTCTCGGTTGCGAGGTCAAAACATTGCAATAGCAGGCACTTAGTAAAGGCCAAGACTCAAGAAATATCCGAAAAACTTAAGGTTCGAAATTTTTGAAGCTTCCAATGGATGGCTGGAAAAGTGGCGCAAGAGACATGCGGAGAATCAGCAGATGTGAGTCAAGAAGACGTAAATCAGTTTAAAGATATCAGCCACACGATGTTTACAATGCCGATGAGACTGGCCTTTTCTTTCGAGTCTTACCTAACAAAACACTTGCTTTGAAATCCCAAAAATGTAGTGATGGAAAGCTTTTCAATTTTACTTTTTACTAATATGGCACGACAAATAGAAGATTTGTTCGTGAAGGTGAAGGTAGCAATTAAAAATTTACCGGCAATATGGAAATTTAACAAGAAAGCATGGATGGCACGAGACATTATGAATGAATGATTGTTACAATTTGATAGAAAAATGGCCCTACAAAAGCGAAAAATTTTATTATTCTTGCATAACGCAGCATCGATCCCCCGTGAGTTAAATTTACAAAACATAAAAATGATCTTCTTGCCTCCATATATAACATCAGTATGTCAAATTCTAAATCAGGGTATCATACAGACAAAATGTTAAATTCTATTATCGTTGGACTCATACTGAAGCACATTTTACCAAAGATGGATCAAGTAACGTCCGCGTCAAGTTTAGCAAAGTCTGTAAATATTTTAGAAGCACTTGATTTTATTAGCTGGTTTTCAAAAAAATAATGATTTTTCTGCATCAATGGAATGGGATCCAGAAGATAATATGCCACTATCTACGATACTTGAAATGGAACGCAAGAAAATCTTGGAAACTATCTCGGAATGGCCAATATTACAGTCTCCTTTAGTTTGAACATTGAAGATGCAATTGAAAACATGAAAGAACCTGAACCCGAAGAAGACAGCGATCAAGAATATGATAGTGTGGAACCTAGAACAATTAACAGCTATAATGAAGCCTTAAAAATAAATACCGATCTAAAAGTTTTTGCAACATCTTAAAAATTTAGAAAATCATTCTCAGTTCAGTTTGTTAAAGCAAAAAATAATAAATATGCGTCAGACTAGTATCATAGGGTCTGTAAATAAATAATTAAAGTTCATTCATCTACATTTCTTTCTATAGTTTTCGTATATTTTTAAAGAACTACACGTAATACATATTTACGATTTATGTTGTTTTTTTTTTCATGCACCTCTAATAAGCGAACAAAACCTGAGGAACCGTGAGTGTCCGGTTATGGGAGTTTTTCTCTGTAATACTATATTATTCAACAAGTTTGACAAACGTCACTTTAGTCACCAGTCGGATTTGGCATTAGCGGAGCTAATAGACGAACGACTAAAGACGTTTTAATCAACTACGCTTTTTCTACATGCTGTGCTTTTTCAACAACCACAGACATACAAAACCCTGTTATTCGAATGGACAAAAAAACAAAAAAGCAACACGTTTTTCAGGAAACCGCTTGAATAATAATTTAATAACCCGCTGTGGTCTATCGTTTTTTATAGATAAATAGAAAAGCAAAGTTTATAAATTAATCAATATATGAAGATCTTATCGCGTCGCGCGTAAAAAGAAAATGTTTAAATAACGCAGGTGCTTCGTCGGCTTTAAGCGTCGTCTCTTCCATATAAGGCGAAACGGCCAAGCATGAATATTATAAAAGGCGCCGGTAGAAAAGTCTAAATAAAAATTCAGCACCTTTCCCGCACAAAAGCGAAAAAGGCGTTTGTCATGTGGTACACACGTTTTTACTTGTTTCACCAACGAATAAGGATGAGAGGTTTACTTTCTTTGCTCTTGATTGTAATAACATAAATATTGTCGGACCGCCGAAAAGAACTGCGCAATGCGGTGATTCGCAACGATTTAAATCGTTAGAAAGCGCCCTT